GAAAAGATTGCTTGAAAAATCAATCAGAATTAAACTGTAATTGCAAATAAGATCCGATAGGAATTGATTATCCAAATTGGAGTGACGAAATTTGCTAAAGATCGTACGGAATTTAGGATTAGATATCCATGAAGGATTTTCGAATCAGAATCCCAAACCGTGGTTTGAGAAATGTTAGCAAAGCTGTATGGCACAAAAAATTAAGGAAGGAAACTTGCAAAAACGAATCGACAATCAATAGGGAAAATTCACTCAGACAGTAAACAGGAAATACTAAACCTCCGACAAATCAACAGAAAGGACAGTAAATCAGAAAAACGAATCGACAATCAATTGAGAAAGGGACTCGCTCCGACAGTAAAAAGGAAGGATGTGTAAGAATCAGAAATGAAATTTTCAACAATCAGAATTACCGGCTTACACGAAATGATCCACCCATCATACCCATATGATCAGCGAGAGGGTCTATCCAAAGAAGAGCCTCACTTTTTGCCTTTACGCATCTTTCRGATCATTGTGTCTCCCTTCCTATCAGACCGAGTGTGATTGACCCAGAAAAGATCAGACGAGATTGATTATGTCACCAGTTCTGCTCGTTTTGGTGAAACTTCCAACTTCCATCTTCCTCTCGAGTCCCAACGCAGTGTACCTTTATCATTATGAGTCTTATGACAGTATCCGACAGGTAAAAATATTTGTACACTTTTTTTTTTTTTTTTTTTTTTTTTAACACCCCCTACATTGTTAGTGGTGCTCGTAAACACAGACACCGCTACCACCTGGGAGCGGCTCCATCTATTGGTGGGGAGCATCACCTGCTGGAAAGCGGGCCCAGCGTCCCATAAGCACATATCAAAACAGGGGTTGTGGGGGTTCCTGCCAGCAGTGATTACCCTGGAGTCCAGGGGACTGACTGAGCAAGATATTGGAGGGAGGGGGGATCCTCTTCACCATGAAGCGGGCGCGTGATACCTGCTGTTGCATACTAGTTCCTCCCTCCCCCCGYTATTGATTACTCTGAAATCCACAGTATGACTAAGTAGGACACCTCRTCCCCCTTTTGTTTAAAAGAGTAAGTTATTGAGATAGCGCTTGCTGGGAACCAGGCCCACCGGSCCCAGTGGCTGGGTGTGCTAGGTAGGTGAAGTGGATGATGGTGCTGCTGCAGGAGATGCAAAAGATTGATGATGACCGCTGATCTCCGAGCTCCCTACTCCCGCCCGAACCATCTCATATCTACAATTGCTGTGGCTKCAGGGGGGAACATATCAGGAAAATCCCCTGGACTCCTCATTGGGATCTCCGGATTCACTTGCAGCCATTCGTGAAACTGAAGTTTGCTATTTTTGGTGAAATTCAATTCGTTGCTTTCCTTTTCATCCGCTCTTTCCCCATGGCAACAGATGTGTGCTAACCTGCCTCCCTTTTCCCCTCCCAGCCGGTCTGCACAAAAATTACTGATTGCTTTTGTGATATCTGTACACATTGATGATGACTGTGTGTTGTATTCGAGRGTGAAGGAGGTAGACATGTCTKTTTCTTTTGGACTGTGGCAATGATGATGGGCTATAATTGCCTTGGTGTAGGGTTGAGCTCACAAGTTCACTTCCTAGCAGTCCAGTTTMGACTACTAAACACACCTGTACTACTCGTATGGAATCACACTTGTGAAGCAGGCTGTCAGTCAGGGTGTTGTACTGGCTCCCCCCAACCAGGGGTTGGACCTGTGTACTTGCCAGGAGAAAGCATTTACTTTACKGTGGATAAAACCACCAGTACCTTTTTTTATTTTTTTTGTTACAACACTCCGTGCCGGGCAACACTTGAAGAGGTGATAAGAGCAAGCTCCTAAAGTGGCCCCCTTTTTTTGGGCMCTTTTATGGAGGCTCCATCTATTRGMGGGGAGCGTCRCCTGCTGRAAACCGGGTGCAGCGTCCCTGACATTGATCAGTCATAGCACATTCCTACAATCACATGAGTGGTAAGTTGGTAACTATTCTATGCTGTACTTTTGCTAGTATGCTTCTGTTCTCCAGCAGCCCCTGTAACGGTGGGGATGTGTACTTGTTGTGACAGTCATTCCTTGCACTCCTTGAAGCTGATACCGGATGTAGTTTTAGCATCCAAATTTRAAGTAGAAGGAGACACTTGGGAAAACCACCAGTACCATCCCCAGCTTTTTTTCAGACATGCGGCTCTTTAACAGCTGCAACTTTTGGGGCCAGGGCGCTGTTCATAAATTTCATCGGCGGCCATTGTCACRTTCCGGGCCTCCGAGAGTCACGGTGAGGGGCCCACGACCAATGTGTGTGCAAGGGACTCAGTCTGGTGGTGTAAACTGGATTATAGTGGATATGGATGAGCAGTTCGTAATAATATGCTACTATGCATCTCTAGCTCAAAGATCTCATCAACAATGGAAAACAAAGTGATGACAATCTGAAGACTTCACCGAATGACATGCTGGCTTTGGTGTCCATTCTTTATGATCTCTTGCTTGTGCGCGTGCACGGATCCCTATAATTACAATTATACCATTGCAGGCAAGGTGATGCTCAACATCCTCCAGACCCGACCTGGTCGCCTGTGCAGCTTACCCTAGATGCAGAGTATCCCAGCGGCGCTGTCGTTATTGCCACCGCTGGAATCCATGCGCTGGAGAGCTATCTTGGAACGAGCGACGTCTCATTCACTTTGACAAGACTTGGTGTAACTAGAACGTTCAGATCATTGTACGAGTACACTGATTTCGTGGCTGAGTTTAGGTAAGAACCTCCATCTCCATTTGCCAATTCTCCTCAAACTACTCCAGCAGGAATCCAATTGCTTTGCCTCCATCAGGCTCCATGTGCAGAGAAGCTCTTTGCTTAATTTGTCGGTCTCTGTCCATCTGTCGCTCGGTCTATAGATCAGTCCGTTGGTCAGTCCGCCGGTTCATTGGCCCATCCGTTGGCCGGTCCTCCTGTCTGTCTGGTGGTCCATATGTCAGCCGGTCAGTCCATCAGTCCATTGTTGTTGCATCGGTCTGTTGGCCTGTTGGTCCATGTCTGCATTGCCTGTTCTCCTCCCATCCTCTCTCTCTCTCTCTCTCTCTCTCTCTCTCTCTCTCTCTCTCTCTCTCTCTCTCTCTCTGTGTGTGTGTGTGTGTGTAGCATGTGTGTGTGTGTGTGTGTGTGTGTGGTGTCTGTCTGTAATCTGCTCCAGAACCCAAGAAAACTTTTTAGGGGCAAGTACGTTTGTGTCACAAACGAAGTTCAAAAGGGCAAAAAAAACAATAATGGGCAACGAAAAAATGGCCGTAGTTCGAAAAGGCAGTCATAACATCAGAAGGCGGTAACATCAGGCCCCGAGTTTGAAA